TTTAAAATATATTTATGCCAGTAAAAATATATGATGTGTAAAGACATCATGATACTAACGCAATTTTTTATAAGAATCATCCAGCAAGAGATGGTTTAATTTGGATATAAAGTTGGTATTAGCTTATCATATGCACAATTTTCAGATCTTTTGATAGTAATTCAAAACATGACTAAACAAAATGATGACAACATTTCATAATATTTCATTTTCTGTTGGATTCTTTATTTCATTTGTCAATTTTGCTCCCGTTAATGATCCTAAACCTGCAGTTCCATTATTACCTGTGCATATCAGGTAATGAAATATTTATTTTGAGTGCTTCATAGTGTGTTTGGCACTGATTATGGTATATGATTTGAGGTAGAAATGATCTCATATTTCTGTCATAAAATTTCTCTCTTTTGATAATTGAGTATATTGAGTTACTAATAAATCTTCGGCAGCAATTGTCTTGTTAAACATCCTTAAATACAAAGCATAGAATAAATGAGAAACTGCTATGTAGGTAATGATTTGGTGAAAGTGAAGTTATAGAAGTTGTTTAGACTGTTTTAACTAAACTGTAATTATCATTGAAAGCACCTTTTTAGTTGGAAACGTTGAAAAGGATGCGTGGATGCTCTTTCTCTTTTTATGTTAGATATGGGTGTCTCATTGAATTGTATTCTTTCTTTGCAGGTTGTGAACGGGAAACTATCACAAACATGCTACCTAATGGCTCTTGATTCTTGTTACAAGCGTTATTGTAACAAAGTAAGCTTGTGATTATTTTGTTTGCCTAGATGTTTGCTGAAACCTGATACTGGTGTGATTTTCTTTTAGGTATGAAAAGTTTGAAGGTAAACCATTTTCAATTTCTGATGCTGACTCTTTCGTATTCCATTCTCTATACAACAAGGTATAAAAATTAAGTTTGAATGATCTTGTAGATTGTAATTTCTGATTTATAGCAGAATATTTAAACCAACTTCTAAACTGTTGTAACAGCTTGTGCAAAAAAGTTTTTCACGGCTATATTTCAATGACTTCCTGCGTCAGTCTAGGTACACTATATTTCAGTTCTGCACATATTAGCCTTCTCATTCTGCTATATGTTTTTTGGTAGGGTAATATACATATTCACTCTTTAGTCTTTCTTTTTATGCATATCTGCTAGTAACGATCTTTTTTTTTTTTCTACTTTCTTAAGTCTCAGTGAGAAACCAATCGTTCAGTGATCTCATGCATTGTTTAGGCTCCTTTTAAAGTGAATTTATACTTTTTTTATTTTAATAATCTCTTTTTGCGCCAGAACTGTTTTTTTTTTCTGTTATGCTCTTGATCATGTCTAGAAGACCTTTGATCTTGCTTCATCTTGTTTCAGAAACTTAGTATTTGCGCCTGAAGTCTTATAATCTCTATGATATTCTTCAGGCTGCACAACAAGTATCCAAACACTTATATGATGAAAAAGTTCAGCATCTACCTTAATGCCAAAACAAGTTGGAAATATGTATACAGCATCACTATATGCAGCACTTGCATCAGTCATTCATAACAAACATGACACACTGGTAAATCTCCTTGTTATGTTAGTAGTCCAATTTTGTAAATTTCCTTTTGTAATTTACCGTTTTTTGAAAATTATTTATGTTTGCAGGGTGGTCAGCGAATAGTTATGTTCTCATATGGCAGTGGCCTTGCTTCTAGTATGTTCTCATTCAAACTTAATGATGGCCAACATCCATTCAGCCTATCAAACATAGCCTCAGTGCTAAATGTTGCAGAAAAGCTGGAGGCAAGACATGAGGTATATTTCTGTTAGAATAATAACTATAATGGATAGTTTTGGTTTTTGTGAGTCATTATAGGTCTTGGTAATTTATAGTTATTAGTGTTTATTAGATAGCTAATAGTTATTTAGATTTCATTTGGGATGGTTTTCTTACTGCTTCTTAAAGTAATTTTCTCTAATTTTTGTACTAGAAAGTTCTTTAAAAAGCAGTAAGAAAGCCATCCCAAACGAAGTCTTAATGACAATCTTATTATTCTATAAATACTCTTTTAAGGAGTGTTAGGGAAAGCAAATTGAATGAATGAATGAAATGAGATATGCCTCTATCTCTGAGTTTTGTGATACTTTCTTCCCCCATCCAGCTCTAGCAGTTATTGTCACCCTCAAATTTGTTGTTTATCATGATTAGTCTAATCAATTTCATGTTTTTATCTTAAGCTTCGTTTGGGACAGCTTTTAACCATTACTTTTTCGCTACTCTCATTGAATTTTTGTGATAGAAAGTTTTTTTAAAAAACAGTAAAAAAATTGTTGCAAATAAAATCTTAATCATACATGCAACATCTAATTTACTGTAATAATACATTGCTTCATATCTATATATTTGCTTTGTTCAGTTTCCGCCGAAAAAATTCATCGAGACAATGCAGCTGATGGAGCATCGCTATGGAGCGAAGGATTTTGTGACGACGAAAGACACCAGCTTGCTCTCTCGTGATACATTCTACCTCACGCATGTCGATTCCATGTACCGAAGATTTTATGCCAAGAAGGGTGCTGCTGTGACAAGTCCGGCTGGAAAAGTTGCTGGCCTGAATGCCAGTTTCCTTGCCAATGGCCACTAGAATAGGTTCTATTTATCTGCAGTGTATTCCTCTGATGAGCTAATTTGTTTCTGTTAAGTCTGGCAAGGATTTGAGGTTCTTTGTTTATTTATTAGATTCTTTGGACTTTAGTATGTTCAATTTGATTGCTTTCTTCGCAGACTTCTCTGAGCACGATTTAATGTGTTAGAAAAAAAAGCAAAGGTCGGTCATTTTTTTTGTCATTTTTCTTGTCTCAGTCGGCAAAAGCCTTTGCATTCCTATCCAAGGGCCTTCACTACCTCTCCGAAGGGTTGTTCGGCCACCAAAGTCTCTGCTGGTGGGCTGACAATGGCTTTAGAAGGCCTTGCCTTGTTTTTCTTCCATGTAGCTGCTGGCTTATTGATCTTGAAAAAAAAATGATATTCCGATCAAAATTTAAGTAGATTAATTGTAAAATGCATATAATCTAAAAATTCATTGATTATTTATATATTATAATATTTTAAAATAAATATAAAATTAAATTTTATGGTTGAATTTCTCTCTGGCTGTCAAACGAAAATTATGTTGCAATATTTTGATCAGAATCTAGATTTTTCGAATTATGAGTGTAATGTTTGTAACATATTAATTTTATAAAGTATACATTTATGAAATTTAGGAGAGATATAAGAGTTGTTATATTGGAAATCTAAAAAAGGCGAAAAATTATGGTACATGATTTAGTAGTAATAGTTCATCAAATTATTATAGATATAAGAATTCTCTCTCCTCTCAATTAAAGAAGATGAAATTACGCATTTAATAATAAGTATTTAATTTTCATTGTAGTGTTTATAGATGTTGAGCATCTACAAGCATATAGTTAAAGTCTAATAATAAAGTTGGATTTTAATACTTTGGAAATGCAATAAAGTTCTTAATCTCTGCATAAAATGAAGTCTTATTTATATCCTTTTTAAGAGATCTTTTAACCCCTTAATTAATTTCATGAAGTTTTCAATCTATTTTAAGTGCTTGGTTTGAGCTCAATTGAAGCCGGATCGGATCACTTGTTGTCTCGATGGATTCGCCCCATCGAGGTGTTTAGTTTGACTATTAAACTGTTGAAATCAAAGTACACATGAACTTGAATTTAAATATGCATCGAGATTCATGATGGATGAAGGTTATTATTTGATATAATTTGACGGGACTCTTTAAGAGATATGGTCTCAAAAGAAAAGAACTTTGCCATATTATCGTTCTCAACTTTTTGCAATTGATAATGATGATAAGAAAAGTTCTCCCATATGACTTTTATAGGCTTTGAACTCACAAGGCGTCTTTAGTGTTGGATTAATCCCTCGAAAATACAAAGATGATATGCTTGTTTAGTTCTTTAGTCACTTGACCCTAGGGGTGTAAACGAGTCGAGTATATGGCTTATCAAGCCTGGCTCGTTTAACTCTCACTGAGCTCGATTAATAAGCTCGAGCTTGACTCGTTCAAAAAATACCAAGCTCGAGATCGACTCGAAAACTCGAGCTCGAATCGAAAGCTCGAGCTTGTTTGAAAAGCTCGAGCTCGAATCAAAATTTTAGTTTTTTTTAATTTTTTTATGACAGTTACTTAAAATTTATTTTAAATTATGAAGAAATAAATATATAATGTAGACGATATAAATATATAATGAAGAAATTTATTTCTAACACAACTTTAACTTTTAATTTCTTAAAATAAAATAATTGTAGAAGAAATAAATATATAATGAGTAATCTTCAAATTTCATGTGAGATCCCTTCACTTGAGGAAGAAGCACTTCCTCATGGATCTTGAAAGAGGAGGAGGGAGAGTGGAGAGGGAGGCGGTGAGCCAAAATCTGCACAAATTCTTTATTCCTTTTGGCTGCCTTCCTAATACAAGCTAAAGCCTATTAATAGGCACAAAAGCAACACCTACAGCTATACAAATAGCTACACAAAAGCAAACCTAAATCTAGGACTAATACCTAACAATCACCCCCTTAGTCTAGATTTTACAAAACAAAAGATAACCACTGTTCTTGATAGAACAGCCAAAGAATGATCATGTCGGTCTCCTCCGTCAAAAAACGTCCACCGACATTTAAGCTCCACCTCCCGACAGATATCCTGTCGCACTGCGTCCAACGCAGCCAATCCCCGAGCACCCCTAGCCCGGATTCCGCGCCCTGTGCATCCACCAGCACCCTGCGCCTCAGTGCCCGCGCCCTGCGCCTCCAGCCCGCCACCACCGTGGCTCTGATACCAGATGTGAGATCCCTTCACTTGAGGAAGAAGCACTTCCTCATGGATCTTGAAAGAGGAGGAGGGAGAGTGGAGAGGGAGGCGGTGAGCCAAAATCTGCACAAATTCTTTATTCCTTTTGGCTGCCTTCCTAATACAAGCTAAAGCCTATTAATAGGCACAAAAGCAACACCTACAGCTATACAAATAGCTACACAAAAGCAAACCTAAATCTAGGACTAATACCTAACATTTCATAACCTCCATTTTTTCACTTAATTTTTCCTTATAAATGTAATAATATATTAACATAATTTTCTCAAAGATCCCAAGAGAGCTGGCTCGTGAGCTGGCTCGCGAGTTCGTTAACGAGTCGAGTTCAAGCCAGCTCACGAGCCAGCTTGACTCGGTTACACCCCTAACTTGACCCTCTCTCCTTGCAAGAGAACGACCACTTCCACTATCTACCTGAGCCTGAACTTTGGCCCCAATTAAGCCTTAATTTGCATTTTCTTAATGGGTTATTCTGTTTAGGGGGAAAAAAGGCTTAAAAGTTTGGAAAAGTAGTCATTTTATCAAAGTCGCTACTTACATAATAAATACATTTTTATTAGCTCCTCTAGATTGAGATAGTTTTTGTATTTTTTTTTTAATACGTTATATGTAAAATTATTTTAAAAAACAATAAAAAAATATATTCCAAATGAAAGCAAAGCAGAAAATTCAATTCAAATAAAAGCAAATAGATTAAAAATTGCTCTAAGAATCACATAAGAACATAGGTTTCGTTTGGGACAGCTTTTGGCCACTGGTTTTTTCTTTCATTCAAGAAAATTTTGTTCTAGAAAGCAGCTTTAAAAAGCAATAAGAAAGTTGTATCAAACGAAGCTTTAGTATGAAGAAATAAAAGGGGAGGATATATTTTGGATTCAATTAGGTTTCGGGATGAGATTTGGTCTTACTATCAGAAAATCCCAAGAGAAGATTTTGAGAATTTAGAGGGATTATGGAAAGAATAAAGAGGATTCGAAAAATTTAGAAAAAACTAAAGAAATCTTTGAAAATTTCTAATAGATCGGTAATGCTTCCAAAGGTCCAAAATGTGTTACTTCAACTTGTGCTTATAGGCATCTAATGGCTACAAGAAATGTACATGGCATATGTCATAGCTTGTTAGGCACTCGTTTGACTCTTTATATTCCGCTCAGTCCTCAATCTCAGGGCGAGTTTCCGAGGACGATAAAATAAAACGAGTCATAAGCAGGGGTTAATGAGTTTACAGATACAAGATGGGCCGGTTTACCCACTTGATTTTGGATTTGTTTAACATGTTCAATGCTAAAAATTATATAAGGGGATTTATACCGCAAAATTTTAAAGTGTTTACATATCTATTACCTAAATCTTTTTATTTACATATATGATATTTTAATATTTAAATCACATCAAAGTATATACTTAAAATTTCATGTTTAACTTTATATAAGTTAATATTAGCTATATTTTTTATGTGGTTTAAATATTATAA